CAGAGTTGCTGAATTGGAGGGGCGGAGGAAGAAAACACTGCTCTTTCTCCAGTCTCCTCAGCCCCACTAGACCAGCACTTAGCTGAAACAGAGACAGGGGGAGTAGGCTCCTTAGCTCCAGGTAAGGAGACCAGCAAGTGCTGCCTGCCCAAGCCCAGGAGATGGAGGGGAACTTCAAGCAAAGAAGAGGCTGTGTGATTATCCCCTTCCTCCTGTCCTGAGGGCAAAGAAATCAGAAGAGATTGTGCTCTGTCCTGATCTGGGCATCTTTGGAGTTAAAGGGGACACAGGCAGGATGCTTCAGCCCTGCTTTCTTGCTGTGAGCCCCATCAGAATATGGTTAACAATGAGCTGGAGCATTTGAGACTACTGAAAAGCTTGTGTGCATGTTCGTTTCTGTGCATGCCTGTCTCTGTAGTTATATAGAAATATATTTAAAAGAAGGTTAATTGGTCTCCTGGGAACTATAAAGAACTTGTTAGGTTCCTCTGTGTGAGCAGTGACTATATGAAGCCCAATTACTGAGTCTGAGTTATTCTCTCTTTTTTAGGGGGAAGGAATCTCTAAGGTCCTTATTAAAACCCACAAAACGTCTAAAGAATGATGGAATTAGAATTGATTTGTCCATGTTGATCACAAGTGCAGAGCAAATAAAAACATTGAACTTTCTCCATGAAATACTAATGGGGGTCATATAGGCATGGCTTACACATCAGTGTTGTGGGGATAAACAGAAACGACTGTGCTGAATGGCAAGAACAGCAGACTGCAAACTTTCAGGTAAGGTGCACTCTTTATGCTTAGGGCAGGAAAAATACACACCGAGATGTTCTCGTAGGGAGCATTTTACAAAACAGTTAACATCTCAAATGTATTTTCAGGCTGATTAACTTTGTAAAATCAGAAATGAAAAGGGAAAGAACTTTTGTATGGGAAAATATATATTGATAGGAAAGAGAAAATAGCCAATTAAAAACAAGTAAGAAAAAAGAAAAGAAAGGATCTGTAACGTGACTTTGGTCTGAAATGCTCCAAAGCATTTGTTTGGGATTTTTTGACTGTTCATTAGACTTTGCTGAAGTGCCGTGGATGGCAACCACAGCTTTGTCTACGTGGAGGAGGCGCAAGTTAGGCAGGGCCAGCTCACAGCACTCTGCCCCTGTGTGGCAACTAAGCTGTGGAGAAACTCTCAGGCAACACCTGCAATTACAACATGAAAGTACGATGATACCATTCCATCCCGTCCATCCCCACAACCAGTGATGTCAGGACTGGACCAGAGACACTGCATGTAGCTACAGGTTTGTCACCAGTCAGGACATGTTCATACGGGACATGATTAATGTCTGTAAATTAACATCACAACCAGCTGTTTGCTGCCCTTCCCCAAAAGCTAGGCTAGCCAAGTATTTCTCCCTATAATTAGTAGTTTCTGTAACTTGTTTTGTTCAGTGAGGGATCTCTCTGCAACACTGTCACTGAGTTTGCTGCCCACATTATCACCTTTTTCTGTGAGAGAAGACACTGCCCCACACCCTGCTGATACCAGCCGGTGCTCTGGGGCTGTTTGCAGTTCTGCTGCTGTGTGAACTTGAGCTTGTCGAGTCACTTTATGGGCCTCTTCTTCCTCCAACTATGAAATAATAACTAGCTTCCTCTTAAAAGTACTCAGAGGTATTTTGAAAACTACGTTTTCTGTGCATAGGTCTCTTGCTGTCCTACAAATAATGCACACAGATTCTTTAGGTCTTTATAGTAGGAAAGTAGAGAGGCAGATATATGGAGAATGTCATATCCAGTTCCTTTTTTTTGTTTCTTTTTTGTTTGTTTTTGTTGTTTTTTTTTTTTTTTACAGTGAGGAGAAATTTCCCAAGGATCAATAATGACAAAATCCAGCTATGGACATCAATCTAACCCTGGCTGATTTGCCCAAGGTCAGTTCCTGGTACAGCAGGGAAGCCAAGCCAGAACTCCACATTCATAACTGTAAGGCATTCCTTCTTCTCCTTGTCTTATGGGAGGTTTAATTCTGAATCAGGAAAAAAAAAAAAAATCCTCATAATTGGCACAACCTCTATGCGAAACAGAACTTTGTTCATTAAGGGCCTTGCAGTGGCCAGGGACTGTTTGGAATATACCATGCAGGGAAATAGACTCTGTATTTCATAAATGTGCTATGTAAAAAAATAACAAGCCTAAAAAAAGCTAGCTTAAAAACCTAGCCATCAGAGAACAGGGCTACAGTGAGAAGCAGAGAAAGTGCTGAGTAGTGGGTGAGCTTTGTTGGCATAAACCCATACATGATAGACTCCACACAGAGGGCAATAGACTCAAGGAGGTCAAAATTAAAAAAAAAAATTGGTTCACTGCATTTTTCTTTCACTGCATTTCTTTTACTTTCTACCACCTCTGCTACGCACTGCAAGTTCTGTTTGCTAAGGGCTCAGACAGTTTTTACTTCCAACATCAGGTCAGCACACCTTGAGGAATATGGATACAGAGAATTATACCATGCCTAAAGAAACAGCACAGTTTAGGGAACTAATTTTTGTTTGTTTGTTTTGTTCAACTGGAATAAATTATTCTTAGCAAAACTGTATAATAACCCATGTTTTTTTCCTCTATGCTGGTACCACTTTACTTCCAAACACAAACTACAATGCAGTTCAACTCCCTCTAAGTGCAATCTAACATTGTTTCTCCTGGACTACTTTAAGGGATAGGGACAAATCAAAAGTAACTCAAAACATGCTCCTGAAACTTGAGGTGAACCCAAATTACCATTGCTTTCCAAAAGGCACTGGAAAAGTCTCTGAGCTGCTGGAAGCAAGCAGCAAGCCTGCCAGCATTACAGACAATACTGCAGTCTGCCTTTCTGACTTTAGAATCTTTATCTTAGCAAGCTGATACCACCTGAAGAATTTGACAGATTTTATCTGTGAAGACCGAAACATGATGTCTGTGCGGAGACAACTCCAGCTACTTTGAGTCCGAGCTGAAAAAATAAGATTACTTGATTTGAAATGAGTGCTTATCTAATGTTCCTTCCTCACTCGCATGCTTGCTTGCTACTGCACTTTCAAATGACTCATTTAGCTAAATCTCTCGGCGGTCACCGGCTAGCTTTTTTCACAGAAAATGGGCTGGAGTGGGACCACCGGGAGAGAAAAATCTGCCCACAACAACCTCCCCTGCATCATCATCAGCCCTCCTGGTGGTGTTAGTATGTGTGAATCTCCGAGGAAAACTGCTCAGTAAGTGATTGAAACCAACCAGAAAACTTGGCTCTTTCCTTGACCAAGCTGAAAGAAATGCAAGTTTTTGCATCAACAGTAATGAATATAAAGCATGTATTATGCCCCTGTATTTAGGAGTCTCTGCATACCAGCCCAGAGAAGGTGGCCAGGCAGGGCAGTCAACACGGTCGTGCCCCTGAGCCAGAAACCTGAGCCACAGACCAACCTGGGGCCAATCCGGTTTCTTGCATTGCTCATTGGACTGCGGATCAATTTCCTAGAGCCCCCCACGTGTGGCAGGACACTTGATGTCATGATGCTCTGTAGCCAGCACAGCACGCTCTTTCTCCATTTCCCAACAGGCAGCCATTGAACTGTTTTGCTTGTACATTTTCCCTAAGTATCTGCTATAGACCACTGCTGGGGAGAAAATACCACTGTAGGTAGAGCCTTCAGCTTGGTGTAATGTGGCCTCGCATCTGACATCAGGTAATTCTGCCCTGCTCTTAGTGCCCACCTTTCCCTGCTATTGTGCTTGAACTGTTGAGGTCTCCTTGTACCAGAAACTCCAGAAAACAGTGCTGCAGTTCATACATACAGATGTGTCTGCATGTTCATACATACAGATGTGTCTGCATGTTCATACATACAGATGTGTCTGCGAGAGCTGGCGGGCTGTCTCCTGGTATATGCTGCATAAACTAATGTATCATTTTATCTTAAGTCCCTCCCATTTGCAAATCTTAGTATTAGATATGTAATCGTGAGATAACATAAGCATCATCTATGTAAAAGCACATAAATTCTAATACACATGTGCCCCTTCAAAACCAGAAAATAGCTCTTGAAGACTGGGTACCCTGCACATTTTCTGATTGTCCATCAGTGATGTCATTACTTTGTCAGAAATCCCAATAAATGTAAAGGTCTGACCTTTTCCCCCCAGATAATTTCCTTTTCATAATAGCAAGAAGACCCAACCAAGCAGTGAATTTCTGTGAGGATTATTGCACTTCTTGGGTGGCTGATATGACTTGGCCTCTGGCATCAAGCCATGCTTACGTACTCCAGAAATGCACTGCATTTCATAGGTTATTGCTTGCATATTACTGCCGGGCAAGTGAACGCTCCATACGCTGGAACAAATTCAAACGCCTTGAAAGGAGATATCTTCCTCAGTGTTGGCATTCATGTGCTGTGGCTGTAAATTACGCCCAGAGTGTTCATTTTCTTTTTAAATGTGTTCTCATCTCATAATAATTAATGGTGTCAAGTTACTGGTGTGAAAAAAGCCTGGCTTTACAACAACGATGGATTAATGAAATAACAGTCATGGCTGGAGTAGCAGCAATAAATTGTTAGACAGGAGTGACACACCTGAAGCGATACTTTCAAAGGCCTTAAATTATTTATGTTTCAATGTTTCTCACAAATATTTGGTTTTTGTGAACATTTGTATCTGTGTTAAAAATGGAAGTCAGCAGCTCTTCAAGAAAGATGAGCGTGGGGAAATGGGGCACTCATGCTTTCCAAGACATCCTTCTCCCCCCCAGGGATGACCTCCTAATTCAGAAGTCATCAGAACTTTGTTATTTGGGGAAGTGAAATCCAAACCCCACAGGCTCAGAAGGGTCTAGAAACCACACCACTGAGCTCACAGGTCCAAATCTCTCCCTGCACTTCAACCAGTATGAAGTGAGAAAATCTTGAAGCAGTCAAAATGGGGAGAAAACAGAGTAAGCAATTTCCACATAGATACACTTTTGATTAAATTTTTTATTCAATCCATTTTAATATTCAATATTATAACATATGAAATGCAAGAAGAAGAGGGACAGAGCCCTGTGGATTTATTAGGAGGGAGGAAAATCTAATTTAGAACACTGGGAAACTTATTTGATGTCACAGAGCACTGGATCAGGCTTTTGGAAACTACACCTAAGGGCAAGGCAAAGGGAAAAAAAAAATATTCTCTTTACTTATAATGTGACTGACATGAGATCCTTAATTGCTGGCATAAACTGGTATGAATAACGGACTGCTCATATCAATGGTATTATATCACTTTGTAACTGATGAAGGGTCTCTATGCATTTCCCAATACATATTATCAATTACATGTTGTAAATTGATAATTAGGTCTTGTCAATTAGACTGTGTGGTAGGAAACAAAAATCCTCTGAAAATTGCAGATATTCCTCCAAACATCAACTCAATTCAGATCATACAGCAAAACTAATAAACACCAAACATTTTTGTAAAGCAAGTAGGTCCTAATGAAAAGACACCAAAATCATCAAGAAGCTTCCCAATGCAATAGGAAGCATTTGATTTCCTTTCTCCTTGAATAATCTGTTTTCCAGGCTAGAGGTTATCTTCACTGTGTTCTCATGATGGCCTCACACTGTTCCTTTATTTCCATCAAGGCTTGCATCAGGCTGTGATCTGTCCCATGGGTCACCTTCATAATATTATAGGCCTTAAGGAGTGAACAGAAAGGGACACATTAGTCATTGTGCAGACCATGCAAAGGCATTGGTCCCTGTAGTGGGGCAGGGATATAAGTACTGGTCCTCAAGTGGTTGGCAGCAGGCGGCTTGAATGCACGGCATAGTAGAAATAGGAGTGAATCATTCCAAAGTGTATAATGATTTGTCCCTGACAAAGGAAGAGGCACTGACACATTATTCTTAGGAGTTAAAGGTCATGAATATGTTTCACAGATGGATGTTTGGAATAGTAGAGGAAGATACTTTTGCATTGAGGCATGAAGGCCATTTTAAGATTGGTCAACTACAGCACCCAAGGTTTTGATACATTATTTAAAAGACAACTGTGACGTTCATGATGTTAGTAGCCTCAAAGTCCTGTAAATAAAAATGGATTAATGTTTAACCAATGGAATAAAATGCCTTAACTGCATCAGGAGAAACTATACATAACATCAAACAAATGACTAAATTAATAGTTTCACTCTAAAAAGGCATGCAGGGGAATGGGTCTTTGCTGCTTTTCCCAAGGATTATTTTCTCTGTGTGCTTGTCCTCTTCTATTGCTAGGCCAATTTGTGTTTGCTGATATTGCCAGTAGTGTTGCTGATTCCCTGCCACAAATATGTCTGAAATGGTCTTTGCCCAACTCATGTTTAGATCACCATTTTTCATATGACATTTCTTCTTCCTCCTTCTATTAAATTCCTTCTGCAAGGAGAGAAGTACCAGATGGAAATGGACTCAGCACTTCTGAAGAAAGAACATGGGAACAAGAAAAGACATCAGAGATTTTTCTTCATCCCAAACTGAGGAATTGTCAAAGCCTAAATGCAACTTGTGTTTCAATGGGCTCCCGATCCAGTCAGCTGACAAAATTCAGCTAAATCAGCTTTGGATTGCAGAAAAAGGATCTATTTGGAAACAAATCCTGAGAAAGGGCCTCGTTTAAATTGGAAAGATAAAAAACATACAATTTGGTGGAATGAGTGAAAGCCTACTTCCAAATTCTAGAGACTGGCAAGCATACGGAAATTCTAGCACAGTTTACTTTTGCTTCAAATTTAGATAATTTTTAAAAGAAGAAAGAGGCAGCAAAAGATTTAAAGAACAAGCTGAAATAGCAGTCAAAGTGTACAAGGAGCTCTAAAAAGAGTCAGATATGTTCTGAGCTACCACAATGCCCTACTACTAGTGGTAAAATACGCAGTTACACAGAACAATGGAAATGCTTTCATCACCATTAGAAATGCTTAAGAAATGTGAAATAAAATCAGAAATCCTCAATTTTTGCATATTCCTATTTTAGCAGAAATAGAAAGCTCATCATGTTTTTGCAAAATATTTGGAAGTAAGTCATAATTATACTCCCCGAAAAGACTACCTCAATTGTTCTTAGTGTTCTGTTTTTCCAAATTTAACATATTAGGGAAATATTATAAAGAATGTATCATAGAAGTATTTGAACATAGTGGAGTGTGAAATATCAAGGTGTACAAGACCTTCTTTTAAAAATAATAATAATAATTGAAAGATTAGTGTAAAAAGCAAGAATAAGAGCCAGTCCTTCCCTGGCAGAGACGGTGGGGTGAAGACAGATGACCTCTTGCATGGTATAGGAATCCCTGGATGCAGCAGAGCAGGATAGCTGCAGGTGGGATCCCATGTGGTTGCAGTGCAGCAACACGTAGCTGTACCCAGGCTAACTAGGAAGGGACAGAATCACCCTAGAGCAAAGTGGCCAAGTGAATTGGCCATGGATCCAGACACACTTGGTGTGCAGTGTTTGCATGCCCTGGCCACAAAAGCAGATGGATTTATGGTGAATGACCTGTGCAAAGAGCTGTGCTTTTGGATACATCCGAGTCGTAGTCCTGGGGCAGCTGACATTGATCTTCAGCCCACTTATGGGACAGAGGTCAGGCTAGCAGTGATGGACCTGGACATCCTGATGCACAGCCAGAGATGTCCATACAAATACACCTCTGTTAAAAGGCAAAAATCCTTAATATCAAACCTGATCTTGCTACCACTGCTGACTTCTCTCTCACCTCCAACCTTTCCTTTCCATTGCCTTTCTTTCCTCAGTATGGCAGATAAAATGCACCCAGTCTTTATCTTTTTGTTTCCTCAGAGAGAAAATAATTTTCATGCAATGTACTGTCTCACACACTGCAGTACGAGTCAGAACCAGCTGCACTGAAGTTAGAATAGCAATGACTTCTGTAATCTCCAGATTAAACTAGCATTAAGTTATGTAGCTGTTTTTGCAAAGGTCAGTGTGAAACGGCATAATTTCACCTCCAACGCAAGAAATTGCTTTACTGGGTAGAAGCAGGAACACGCAGGCTGTCTGAACAGTCCCCCGCTCTCCTAAATCGCACAGCTAACCAGCAGAGTTGAGGCTGAGCAGAGTCGTGAGGTCTGTGTGGCCTTCCTCTCAGCTAAAAGAACAAATCTAATTAAGAAAAACTATAGTAATCACAAGACAGCAACACAGGCCACAGTGTCATCAACCACACACTGTCTCCCTGAAGAAAATAAAACCCATTAGATTAGTGGTATGGCTGTTGCTCCATGAATGCAAATGAAATGCAGCACAGTCATTTGTGCCTGATTTGCATGGGGATGGGACAGGATGCTCATCACCACAGCTGCAGGGAACTGTGTGCAGATGCAGGACGGCACCGCTCCATCACGGGGCAAGCAGGAAAGCAAATGGCCACGTGCCAAAATGGCAGGAAGCGAAGGCTAGCATTTCAGAGGGAGTATCTGTGTTTTTCCAGGCATAGGAAAACCAAAAGTTGTCACAGTTACTATCAACCATAGCTAGTAAACAATTCAGTGTTTGAAGCAAACACCTAGAAAAAGGAGATTTCTTCAGTGTTGCTGTGACATCTAGGAGGAATTTTACCTGTTTGTGTGCTTTTTGCTTCCACACCAGGGATTACAGTAAGGGAAACGATATTGTACCTACTACAGGCCTTCATGAGGCAAGACAGCCATGCCAATCAGCTGATGGGAGGATAAAGGTGCTCGGGCCACCCTTCCAGCCAAGTGCAGCATCTACGGGGAAACTGGCCAGTCAGTGTCAGACGTGTGCATCCTCCTGCTTGCCAGCCCTGTCCCCACCAGCCATCACAGTGGCTGGGACAACTGCCCCGCTCAGGAAGGTGTGTGGGCATGGGCAGACACTGACGCCACCGCAGCCCAGAGGATGGAGCAGCAGCCAAGACAACGCTATGCAGCACTTACCATTTCACCTCGAGGAGATGATGCTCACAAATGAAGTCATCTCCTTGCATCCAAGCCTTCCCCTCTGCACCCTGCTTGTCCTCCCAAACCAAGTCCAGCTCCACTCAGGTTGTGGTCAACCAAATGGGTGAGCCTATAGTGCCTTGAAGGTAACAAATGACACCTAACAAACATTTATGCTAATGACTGCACCTCAGGACAAATCTATACACTTACTAGGGGCTCCTGAGAGCTCCAGAGATGCAGACCCATCCTGGGCTCCTGCAGGAGTGCTGCTTCCCTGTTAAGAAGCTTTTATCTTCACAAGACATCTTGTTCCAACTTTTGTTATTGCTGCTTTTTACAGTCATTCCAGACTCTTTAAATTAGGTTTGTCATACTGGGCTCCAGCTATGGTCTTTTGCTGACAAATGTTTTCCCAATCTATAATTCTGTTTGTCTTCCCACCATTACATCTTTCATATATATATGCATATAAATTTTAAAATAATACTTTGGTTGTACAATAACCAAGGGTTACCTTCAGGTTTTATTTCAGAAGAGGAGTATTGCCTCTCTAAAACACTTCTGTTTCCAAAACCTGGCAGATTAGATTCTGCAGGGTCTAATATACTTTTAGGGGATGATTTCATTTTAATGGGTAATGCAAAGCTCTCGACATTATTTAAGCTCTCTTTGGGGGCGCAGGGCAGAGAGCTAAACCCAATAGGCACTAAGAGTAAGGTGATTATAGTGATTCATTTTCAGGTGGCACGGAGAGCAGCAGTAAGGGCTGGACTGCAGAGCTGTGTATGAAGACCTACTGGTCTTAACAATGCATCTGATGCAGAGAGGCTGTCAAACCCCAGCAGCTTTGAGGCTGTGCCTGATTAAACAGGATTTATATGAGTGAGGAGAATTTCACTCAGATCTCAATTCCTCTGCACCTTCCACATCCTTCTCCTTAATGCCACACTGAAATTAGTCTGACGAGGGTTCCAACAGAGTGCTATTCAGTGTCAGAGTGTATTAAGAAGAGTAATGAAGCAGAGAAGGTAATCGAGTTTCTGCTCTGAGCATGTGGCATGCTCTGTTGACACATCTAATCACAAAGGGCCGAACTGTGTTATCATAAAACTCTAGGACATTATCTGAGTTATACTAGGAATCACATCCTTTACTCACAACAAACTGGGAATTATATCCTGTTCTAATTTGTTCCAGCATAGACAGAAATTAAGGGAATCAGTTTCAGATCTCATTCAAGGAAGCGTTGTGGCCTATGCTTACAAGTTGCATGGGGAAAGAGGATGGCAAGAAGCTTTTCCTCTTCTCAGCTGTGCTCTCAGAGAGTGGGAGTTAAGTCTCTCCCTGTCTCACATGTGGAGGAAAAAGGGGAGACTGAACAGGGAATAGGCAAAACCACAACAGGATTGTAAATGGTTCTGCATGTCAGCTGTAAAGCACTTACTGTGTCCTTGTGGACCACTGATGGCTTGGAGACCACAGTTAGAGATGCACTGAGGTATGGCATAATGGTAAGCAGCACCTTATTCTTTCCTTTTCAGGGAAAGAGGAGACTGCAGCTTGAAAAAAAATTTTCTGTGTTAGGCATGCTCAGTATTCAAAGGATAATACAGTAGCAATCTGTCTTGCAATAGGCAACTTCTTTACTAAAAACATAAAAAGCCCCATCACAACTTTCAGCTTCACTGATGAGCAGAATTCAGATGTCTCTAGGGGAATTCACTCCAGTTTAATTTAATGCAGTATCATATTAGAAATGCAATTAGAAGAATGCCTGTTGATATATTGCAGCAGTATCAATGAAAACAGAAGCTCCTCTGACTGGGGTCTCACTCCACCTGCTAAAAAGTAAAGTCTGAATGTTTGGAAATTCTAAGTATTATGGGGGAAATAACAGAGCAGATTACCTGGCATATGACAGATATATGACTTCTGAATAATGCATGGAAAATAGAATTGATTACTCTTCCATCTGCTTTTTAATGACCAGAATTGGCCATAATTTAAATTAAATTTATCAAGTGAAGGTTTAAGTTACCAAGACTTAGTAAGACTGGCATTGTATTAAATACTAATTTATTGTTTCAACATGTGGAAATTATCAGTTATTCAGCTTGCATATTTAATCAGATGTTAAAACCAAATAGATACAGGGTTTGGAAAATGTAAGTACAAACCACTAAATTATCCAGAGAGTCATGTCTGGTATTAACTTTAAGGGGGATCCAGGCAGGAGCAGAAACTACTTCTCCACCCACTCCCAGTGCAGACACACTCATCCCCTTCTATCCCAGGCAGCTCTCCTAACTCCTTGCCACAAGACCAGCTCTTCACATAGCAGGGGCGTTAAACAGAGGAAACATACAGCCAACTTCTGCACCTCTCTCCATCACTGTGCCAACACTGGGGCCTGCTCCTGCCCAGCAGCAACAGGCAGGTAGCTGGGCCAGGTGGCTTTCTGCAGCACCCAGCGATGGCAGTGAGGAGGCTGTGTCAGGCACTGCAGGTGGGCCGAGCAATGAGAGGGGGAAGCACACGGAGCATGGACTGTCTTCAGGCTGAGCTGGCTACAGGACAGTCAAGGGGAACTGGAGGCAGCATGTCTTCCAGGGGAAGAAAAGCACCCAAGCAGTGGTTGAGGGCTTGAGACTGGAAGCGAGAGCGTAAGTCCTGAGGATATGTTGCACATGGAAGGGGAATCTTCAATATATTTAAGATTATACTAACAGCAATGTAACAACAGGACAAGTAGAGCCCGGGGTAGGAGGAAATTAATCTAGAAGTCAGCTCAGGTACAAGAGGGATGGCTTAAAACTGAAATGTAACTAGCAAAGCACCAGCTGCAAAACCCGATCGAAGAGAAAAATGATGAATGATATAGGAATAGGAGGGATCAAGAAGCATGCCTGTTGATTTGAGTGTGACTCATAATAAAACACAGGCATGGAAGACAAAGTTCTCCAATCTGAAATCACAGATCTCTGATAGGGAATAAGAAGAGTAGAAACTGCAGTTCTGCTCCTGTTCTTTCAGTGCTCCCAGATTCACTTTGCTACAATAAGAAGGAGAGTATGAGGCACTGAGATATTTTTATCTCTTCAGATCTAATAGTAATTTTTCATCCAGGCACATCTGAGCTATTGAACTTTAATTAGCAGTGACTGATACTGGAGGAAGTAAGTGCCTGAAACACTGAGCAACAGTGACCCATCACCACACTCAGCTGCAGCCTAGGGAAACACCACTGATGGAAAAAGTGGTGACAAATATCCAAAGGCACAAGGTACAGTCAGAGCAGAAAGGGGGGGGGGGGACGACGGGGACGACGACACAGGACAGGTTTGGGGGAAGTGAGGGTGAGGGACAGCGAAGAAACAATTCACAACACTGACCTGTTTCAAGGTCTCCAGTGCTTGAGGAAACATGCCTTGACTGTACTGCAGTTTGCCCACTCGCATCAGCTGGACAGCCCTCAGCGGATGGAAACCAGGATAATACAGTCTGCAGAGAAAAAGGAGGAAAATGTGTCACTGTCAGCTCTCACCTTCACAGTCACTGCCTCTGCAGAGAGCTATTAGGGTGGGACTGCAAAGTCATTGTGAATGTTAATAAGGTACTCAGAGAAAATTAGCTGCACTACTGAGAAGCATGAAATACTGAGGGGAATTAGCAAATTATTACTCTCCATCTCAGAGGAATGCCTTTAACATTATTCTGTTAGAAAGTGACAGGAGTTGGATTATTGAATTCGCTACTGTTGGATAATACAATAGCATTTACTGTACTTAGTGTTGCAAACAGAGTTCGTTCACAATCTTAGGTCTCTTGAGAGATAGAATTTTAAAAGGAAGCATCAGCAGGGGGAAGCCAGTCCTGGATCCTCCAAGATGAAGTGGAGGGACCGGAGGGAAAGCAGGTATGTAACACTGAGGGCACCATTTCTGAGGGTTTGCTTGCTTCTCTCTGTTGCAGAAAGAACTGGTGCTGCACGGTCAAGGAAACACCTCAGACTTGGCTTGTGCATCTAGACAAGGTATTTGATAGTGTGAGGATACAGTCCTGTTCTTAATTAATTTCACAGAAGCAGAGGTTTTCCATCAACCTCATTGGAGTTAGTAAAAACAGAACTATGCTCTCTTTATTCCTAGGAAGTAGATGGAGAGCAATGTAATCATTAATTCGTCTCGAGATGCTCTTGAAATGTCCATGTTTTCATGGTAGCCACTCCATATTTCCAAATCCTGCCAGTCCTATATCCTGGATGTGGAGAGCACGACATCTCAGAAGAGCAACCTGGGGGCTGCAGAAAGCAGTGGACATGGCTTGACTAGAATTGACCAGCAGGAAACACAAGGTGAAGGGGGCACACCTCGAAGTTAAGTAAGTCTTAGATATTTTTTGACTAACAACACAAATGAAAGAATAAAAGCCTTAAGCATGACTCACTGAAGACAAACATTCTATTTGATCAAAAGGCATTTTATTTCCTCAAGCACACCACTGGTGTCTAAAAAAATACAGATTTGTCAGATAAGCTTCACCAAACCTATGATCATCAGACTTCAGTGGAATTGCTAATGAATGATACCACTGCAGTCAGAAACTTAAATCTGCATGAATATGATTAAATGCATGCCAAGACATTAAAGGATGTAAATTTGTACAATGTATAGGAATGTTCTCATAAATCTGCGTGCAAATGAATGAGTTATCTTTCTCCATTATTTTTCACTAATGAAATTACAAACACGATTAATGCAAACAAGTAATCGTTTAAAGGGCTGTGTATCTAACTGTCCTTACAAATCTCAAATGAAGACGTGCAAACATCATGGAAATGTTTTCACACCCAAACCCCATTTTTCTTCTGATTCCACACAGTTTCAGTGAAGACATACAGAAACACATGGGAAGCATGCCTGTCACGATCTCAGGAGCAACAGCTCTTGATCTACCAAAGCTGCTCATGAAGCAGCAGAAACCAGCTCCTCAATGAGAATAATCCACCCTGAATTGCCACAAGCACCACCTGTTCAGACCCCTTGTGGGCTGCAGTTCAAAAAGGCTGGAGAGCCAGCAGATGAGAGAGAATAAAAACGACAGCATTTAGCTCAGTCCAAACTGACCACTCAGGAACTTGAATGATCTGATTAAAGAAAAACTGGAAATTTAACAGTAGGTTTATTTTTAGATTTTAGTTTTGCTTATTATATCAATTAACATGATGATATTTGCTACTAGTTAAATAGGGAGAAAACACAGCTAAGTCAGATATTTTGGTGTGAATTAGTGAGGAGTAAGAGAAATTGCAGCACTAACATGGCACAAAGGGGAGTAGTTAGTACATGAACAACTTTGTAAAAATTGCAAAAAAAAGATGCCTGTATGATTGCGTACTTCTGCCCTCACCTGTGACTGCTGTAAAGGAAGGAGTAAAAAGTTCATTCCGTCTCCTCTGGGCCACCAAAATGCCAGGAAGCCTGGGACAAGGATCATGGCCACAGAAGAAGGTGCTAGGGAGGCAAAGACTTTTTGCACGAGATGCCAAATCAGCTTTGCAGTCCCCACTAGACTCTCTCTCTGCTGTATCCTGACAGCTGTGATTCTCTTCCCACCGCTCCTCACAGTCTCTTCACATCTTCATTCTACACCTTTACCCGTCATCCTTTCAACCATCTTTTTAAGGACTCTTCTTTTCCTTCCCCTCATGAATAACCAGCCCCATCCAAAGTACCAACACAAACAGGGAACTTGGGTCCTGCCTCACCTGCAGCCACCACAGGGATGGCAGCTCATGTAGACAAATCCAAGCTACGCTTTTGTTCAGCAATGTGGTGCCTGCTAAACTTCATGCAGGTCCATCAGAATTCAGAATCTGCCCCTCCATGCAAACAGGTTTGTTGCTATAGATCATACCTTCACTTGCAGTCAATGAAGATTTAGGATTGTGGTACATACAGCAGCAGAGAAAACAGGCAGCAATTTAGCAATGTCAGATACCCAGCCCAGACTACTAGATATAAACTAAAGCAAGAGAAAATTTAAGATGAGGACACAGAAGGAGAAAGTGTGAAACGAAATGCCCTGTGCTCATAAATATTTACACAGCTGTTTTACTGAGCTGATTTATGCTCTGATCTTATGCATGTACATAGTTACATTTTGCAAGCCTTAAAATTGACATTTGAAACAACTGTTTCTTATCATATTCTGGAATAAATCTATTAAACTTTTGGAACACCTTTTGTGGAAGCACATCCATTGAGTGTGTTTACTAAAGAAATCCAGACAGCTTGCAGCTCTTCTGAGAGACATGTCAGTGGGAAAAATGCTGCTAACTTCTTCCACACATCCCTAGGATTCAGTATTATGAAAAACTGGCATGGCAGAAAGAACTAAGAAGCAGTATCAGGTACCTGCGAGCCAATTTATTATCCCCACGCATTGCTCTGAACAAAACAAAGTGCATAAATTTAAGAATAAGGAAGACATTTACCAGTCCAGGAACTGGTACCTAAAGACTGTCAACAAGAGACGAAGACAACTATAGAGAAATACAGGCTTTAAACGTGTTACAGCTTGGGAAGAGCAGGATTTAAATCTGAAAAGGATTTTATGAGATTTACCAGGGTCCGAGGGACAGGAAGGGGAACAGTAACATACTGAAAGCTGAAATAAAGATATTTCTGTGGAGTGATGTTTCCTGGCCCTTGGTACTGGTCAATGCCCAGTAGTTCACTTGCAAAAAGAGATTAAACTGAATACAACAACTAACAAGTAAAGCTGTGCTGTAAAAGAGAACTGTAAGAGGATGAGAAAGATCTGTACATTTTGTATCACATCTTCTGTTTATATAAGGCAGCACAGCTTTGCTCTCATCTATTACCAACAGCATCCATGCTGGCCTGTCCCTCCAACTATGCCCTCCTGCCTATCAACTGGTCCCCGCAGTTTGGTGTCATCTGCAAACCCCACAGAAGTGCCTTCTGTTGCCTTCTCCAGGTCACTGATAAAGATGTTAAGCAGGATGAGTGCCAGGACAGGCATCGAAAAAGGGTACCATCCAACAGCCATGTCCTCTCCCTCCCACTTCCCCACTCATTCCCCCCAATCAATTTTTCACCTATCTAGCTCTCTACTCACCTGGACTATAACATCAGCAATAGCGTGGCCAGCAGGGACAGGGAAGGGATCTGACCCCTGCACTTGGCACTGGTGAGGCCGCCCCTCGATTCCTGTGTTCAGTTTTGGGCCCCTCACTACAAAAATGACATTGAATGATTCAAGCGTGTCCAGAGAAGGGCAACGGAGCTGGTGCAGGGTCTGGAGCACAGGTCGTACGGGGAGTGGCTGAGGGAACTGGGGGTGTTTAGTCTGGAGAAGAGGAGGCTGAGGGGAGATCTCATTGCCCTCTACAGCTACCTGAAAGGAGGGTGCAGAGACATGGGGATGAGTCTCTTTAAGCAAGTAATAAGCAATAGGACAAGATTGCGCCTCAAATTGCGCCAGTGAAGGTTTAGACTAGATATTAGGAAGCGTTTCTTTCCAGAAGGGGTTGTTAGGCGTTGGAATGGGCTGCCCAGGGAGGTGGTGGTGTCCCCATCCCTGGAGGTGTTTAAGAGTTGGGATGACATAGCACTGAGGGATATGGTGTAGCTGGGAACTGTCAGTGTTTGGTTAATGGTTGGACTGGATGATCTTCAGAGTCTTTTCAAACCTAGATGATTCTGTGAATCTGTGGTCCTAACTTGGATGCTAACTCCCTGATCTTCCTGACCTTGCAGAGTTAATAGTGAGCAAGCTGGCCAGCTCTCCCAATGACTTTGCTGGAGGTAGCCATTGGGTCTGATGGGTTTGTAGGGGTCACACTATCTCAGGTAATCCCTGTCTTATCTCTTATTCTGGGATGTGCCTGGGAGACTTCATAGGCGAACAGTGAGGCAAAGAAGGCACTGGTTAGCTTACTATTTAAAACCTCAAATGAAAGCTATTTCCTAGTCTCCAGGTAGCTCACCAGTGTTTCACTGTTCCAGGTACCAGAGTTCCCGTATTCCATTCACGAAATACGAGGATAGCAATTTTCACTAGGCAAAGATATGGCCCATACTTTGTAAAGCAATAGCTGCTTCTAATACACCGTGAAATCAATAGTTCCTGTTTGCAATTCAGTCACAAGGTTTGCCTTGATTAACCCTCAGAGCAGTCACTGAACATATACTTTATAAAGAAAAAAATATTTTTCTTCATTCTGTATATTAGCTCTGAATCTCTCCAAGCAATCCCTTGTGTCCTCATGTAAAGAACAATGTATAAAAGACAATCCTTGACAAATTTTTGCCAGTTCCTTCTATTTCTTAATACTGTAGTTCCATAATTCTACTCAACTTATCTCTCATTACAAGGTAAATAATCAGAGCTTTTGTGTTGTCTTCAATTAAAGTCTAGTATTAAAAAAAGAGACTGCAAAATCACTGACTTTGCTGATGCCTCATATTTTAAAA